TCCAGTATGAATTCTCTGATGTTGAGTAAGATGTGAGTTCTTGATAAAGGCTTTTCCACATTCTTTACATTTGTAAGGTTTCTCTCCAGTATGAATTCACTGGTGTTGAATAAGACTTGAGTGGTGACCAAAGGCTTTTCCGCATCCTTCACATTTATAAGGTTTCTCTCCAGTATGAATTATCTGATGGTAAGTAAGACCTGAGTGCTTGCTAAAGTCTTTGCCACAATCCTTACATTTATAAGGCTTCTCTCCAGTATGAATCCTCTGGTGTTGAGTAAGATTTGACTTCTGATTAAAGGCTTTGCCACACTTCATACATTTGTGTGATTTCTGCTGCATATGAATTACCTGACGTTAAGGCATGAGCTGCAAGGAAACACTTTGCCACATTCTTTACATTCGTTTGGTTTCTCCCTAGCATAAACTTGCTGATGCAGACTGAAATGTGAACACCTAAAAATGGCTTTGCCACTTTCCTTACCTTTGTAAGGTTTCTGCTCTGTATGGATTCGCTGATATTGAGTAAGCTTTGAGTTCTGATTAAAGGCTTTGCCACACTTTGTACATTTATAATGCTTCTCCCCAGTATGAATTCACTGATGTTGTCTAAGATTTGAGCAAGACATAAATGCTTTTCGAGATTCCTTATATTCATAACGTTTCTTGCCAGTGTGGGTTTGCTGATCTTGACTAAGCTTTGAATTCTGATTAGAGGCATTGCCACGCTCTGTACCTTTGAAACGTTTCCATCCTGAATGAATTTTCCTGTGTCTACTTAGATTGGATGAGTTAGTAAAGGCCTTCTCACATTTCTTACACTTGTAACTTTTCTGCGGATCCTGAATATTCTGCTGTTGAGTAAGACTTGAAGAATGATTAGAAATATCACTATATTCACAATTATAAGTCTTCTCTCCTGTATGTGTACTCTTCTTTAGTAGAAGACCTGATGTTTGATAAAAGATATTCCTACATGTACTATTTTTAGAATCCTTGTCTGAAGATTGAGGTCCCTGATGTTTCATAGGGTTAGAGTCTTGTTCAGTTTTAGACCCAGTTTCATTGCATGAATAGCTTCTCATTCCATCGTAAATATTCTTGTAATTATTGCGGGTAGAGCTCTTACTTAAAGCCTGACTCGTGTTATTACATGTGAGAAGTTGTTCCATATTAACCATATCATGATGTGTATTGAACAATGTTGGTGGGATTAACTCTTTTCCATTATTATCAACATTACACATTTTGGAACAGAAAGAACCTGTCTGTTGGTGGAAGAATAATGACCCCTTGCTCACAGATCCCTCAAATTGATTATATTGTGAGATTTCCCCATCATTTTTAAATTTCTGGTTTTCAGACGTGCTTGAATGTATGTGTAATCGAAGCCTGTGTTCAGAGTGGTTTGAATGAGTATGTGCAGTAGAGACTGGATGGCTTTCCAGATTTTCCACATTCCCCTTCAGAGAACGTGTATGTTTCAAGAAATGATTAAAGCCTTTGCTTGAAAAGATATGCTTCTCTGCAGATATTGATCACTGAAATGGGTGTTTTCCCCAATTTGACTCACATTGCTCATTTCTTTTGGCAGTAATGTCTGCATTATGTGAAACTGTCTCAGTTCCTTTAGGTCCATATAAACATCTTCTAGGTCTTTCACAGACCCCCGTATATTCCTGGTCTTTCATTAAATGTTCATTTCCAAGGTGAACTCTTTCATATGTTCCTAGGTTTGCCTTTGGATGAAATTTTCTAACCTTGGATTCTTTGACATCAAAGCATGGGTGTTGTGAGAAGACACAGCTGAAAGATACCAAATAAAAGTTTATCAAAATGGAAGATATCAAATCTACTATTCTCAGTGAATATCCTTAAAGATGTAGAGAAAATAGAGACACAAGAATCAAGATGCAAGAGGATTAGGCAGACTTGGAGTTCATCTCTCTCCACGAATGCATCAAGCATACATCAGATATGGAACAATTCTCACAGAGGCCCCTCTGAACACTAGCAGAGGACCTACAACACCTAAAACGACAAGAAAGATTCCCACTTAGCCAGGTAGGACCAAAGAAAGAAGGAAGAGGATAGGAATTGGGATGGGACCTGCAACCCTGGGGGGATCTGAAGAGAGGAGGTCTCCATGCCTGGAGACGCCCCTCATTGGGGGAGAGTTCAGTTAAGACAGAAGGGGAGCCTCATCCTCTGTGGGAAGAGAACATGGCAACGGTCTGTGGCAGCAGGACAGAGTGAGAACTGCACACGGGGTACTGACCCCTGTCCTGCCCACCCAGCCTGAGAGGATGTCCACCGCTGCAGACAAGGGCTGGGTGCTGGAACGTGGGGTTCGGAGAGCAGACCCAGGCAGAGGACTGCTGTAGGCTGTGAGGAGACATCCTGAGGGGACGGGAGGGAGGGAGGAGCTCTGTAAATGGGTTGCTTGTGGAGGAAGACTGAACCACCATAGAGCAGAGCAGCGTTGTTGAGTGATGCCAGAATGGAAGAACCCACCAGAGCCTCTCTCCCCCCGTGCTGGGCCCTCATCACTGGCAGTAGGAAGGACCACCACCCAGGTGGGCTCTATTGAGCCCCAGCCACGGCCTCCCCCATGCCCCTCCTCCACCGTCAGCAGACCCCTGTGCTCTGGGGCAGCCTCTGGAGCAGACACCTGTGGGTGGGCCACATGCTCAGATGGAGCTGAAAGCACAGCTGAGCCCCAGGGTTAAGGAAGAAAACCTGAATTCTCTCCTCACAGCTGCACAAAGCATGTTTTTACACCCACCACGGACTTTGTCAACTCAGTCCCTACAGAGCATCTGAATGGACGACCAGGGCTCCCCCAGTAATGGAGGTGTAGCTTTAGCAACTGTAGACTTTGTGGGGATGTATGTGAGGGGGTGGGGCCAGGCCACAGTCTGAGCTGCCCCAAAGCACCACAGTGGATCCAGCTCCATGAAAGCAATTCTGGGCCCTGATTTCACTGGATCTATGCTGGTGACTTGGTGAAAACAACATCTGAGAGACACCAGGGCCATGTGCAGAGATACCCATGGTTGAGGTGGGGCCAAGTGCAGTGCCGACCAGGGTCACATGAGACTCACACAAGGCGTGAGCACACTCCGAGGGGAACATCCCCAGAGCAGCAGTCCTCAGGGGCTTCTCTCCCGGGGTTGTGGTCCAATCCCACCTGCCTCCACCACAGATCAGAATCACAGTGAGGAAACAGATCTGGGGGCTTCTACTCCACCAACCAGGGAGCAGACTCACCACAGACTGGGCGGTGACAGCCACAGAGCCATGGGGAAGCTCCCCTCAACATCCAGGGCAGGCTCAGGTCAGAATAACAGGAATCAAAGCCCAGATCAAGGGGAGAAGGGCACAAGCCTGTGGACCAGCCTCACCCACCAGGGGGGAGACGACAGAGCAAGAGGAGCTAGGAATCCTGCAGCCTGCAGAACAGGCCACAAACCCAGAGAATGTGACAAAATGAGAGGACAGAGAAGTGTGGTGCAGAGGAAGGAGCAAGACAAAGAGCCACTGGAGCCACTAAATGAAGAGGAGACGGGCGGTCTAATGATTACTTTCTGACTTAAGTCATCTTAAATGGAGACGCCACTAGGTGCCTCCTAACTAACCCACTTCTTATTCTATTGTGTTCTATTAGAAAGCAATGGCACCCCCACTCCAGTACTCTTGCCTGGACAATCCCATGGGTGGAGGAGCCTGATAGGCTGCAGTCCATGGGGTCGCTAAGAGTCGGACACGACTGAGCGACTTCCCTTTCGCTTTTCACTTTCATGCATTGGAGAAGGAAATGGCAACCCACTCCACTGTTCTTGCCTGGAGAATCCCAGGGACGAGGGAGCCTGGTGGGCTTCCGTCTATGGGGTCGCACAGAGTCGGACACGACTGAAGCGACTTAGCAGCAGCAGCAGCAGTAGCATTAGATGTTTCAATCTAAACATCAGAAATGATACTGATGTAGGTCTAATCAAAAAGTGAGGACATGTAGGACAAAGTCCGGAGAAGCTGATAACAAGATTAATTAATAAAGAAGTAGTTCTTGAGAAATTAAATAACAAATGAGACTTTAAAAATATGGTGGGAACACAGGGGACACTATCAATGCTCTGTGGAGATCTAATTGGGAAGGAAATCTAAAAGAGCAGGTATATACTAAAACCAATTCTCTTTGCTGCACAACATTGTAACCCAGTTATACTCCAATGAGAATGTTTTTAAAAGATTATATTATCTAAAAATTGTAATATTTTCAAACCATTAAAAAATGTAGTGGAAAATGTTTTAAGCTCTTATGCCAATTTATTTGAAAATTCTTTGAGCTAATTGAATATATTTAAGTCTTTTAGCATTGAGGAATTGCGGCAAATACACTTAACATTTCATATGAGTTCATATGAAGAAAACAGAAACCTTGAAGTAACACTGAGATTTGCATTCTTTCTCTTTAGGGAGGTTTTGGTTTATGCATGAAGAAATTACTTAAATTTAAAATGTATAAGATCATATTTGTAGGTTCTAGTGTTTTAGAAATTATAAGTTAGAAAAAACCCCTCTGTCCACAGTATTCCTACAACTTGGGCAGTATGCCTACAATTCCACTCACATATTACCATCTAGTGGTAGAAACAAACTTTAACAGGAGCGTCTTAGCGTTATTCAGAAACGTGCAGTTTTCCTAGGGCCCCCAGGAAATGCAATAGTAACCGATGCATGCAGGTTGTCACAGGCCAAGAGGAGGTTTTCAGTTCTCACTGTGATTGAGAAAAGAGATCAGTGGAGATGAATTCAGGAATGACTTAAGAGACAGGATGGGGCACGTGATATCCGCCTATGACAGCAGCAGAAAGAAACCCAGGCTTCTCTAAAATCATTTCCACTGAAGCAGATCTTCCCAAACCACATGACAGAGGATGAATTCCTTACTGATCCTTGGACCTGTCACTGAGTCATTGGCTTCATCCATTCACACCTACCTGTGTATATGGCTGCCATCTCCTGTCTCCTTACATCCCAGGGATTCTTCATTTGCTCCAGAAAGGTGATCAGGTCTGGCTTAGAGACCACAAGACCTGCTATCAGGAAAAGGAGTGTTTGTTTTGCTAGAGATTCATCAGTTTCCACTCTAATATGTATTCAGGTGAGAAGAGAAGGCATGTGTGCTAAGTCGCTCCAGTCATATCTGACTCTTTGCCACCCTATGGACTATAACCCACGAGGCTCCTCTGTCCATGGGATTCTCCAGGCAAGAATACTGGAGTGGGTTGCCATGTCCTCCTCCAGGAGATCTTCTCAACCCAGGGATCGAACCTACTTCTTTTACGTCTCCTGCATTGGCAGGCAGGTTCTTTACCACTGGTGCCACCTGGGAAGCCCAGAGAAGGCATGGTAGAATATTAATACAGCGTAGAAATAAAGTATTTGGGGACATCATTTCCTAGGCTGTATTAACATTCTCTGGTGGCTCAGCTGGTAAAGAAGCCACCTGCAATGTGGGAGACCTGTGTATTGATGCCTGGGTTGGGAAGATCTTCTGGAGAAGGGAAAGGCTACCCACTCCAGTATTCTGGCCTGGAGAATTCCATGGACTATTCCATGGGGTCGGAAAGAGTCGGACACAACTGTAATCTTGCTCATTATATTAACACTCTAGAGAAGGCATGGTTGAATGTTAATATAGCCTAGAAAATTATATCCCCAGACACTTTATTGAAAGCACTTTTATAACACTAACAAATACGTAAAGAAAAGATTTTGAGATTCTAGTCAAGTACTACTAACGCCAAAGTAAGTAAGTAGCAGAAATCTGATTTGAAAAGGAGAGTGGCACCCTCTTATAGCACAGAACCTAGAAAATTACCACTAACCTAGAAGAAGGAGGCAGATCACGTCAAGGAAAAGTCAGAATCATAATGAATCATCATGAAGTCTTTTTCTCAACTCAGAAGTGCCCATTTTCCCAAAGGATGCAGGGATCTAAAACTATTGTAAGAAGCAGAAGATTCTAGAAGACATTCTAGAAATACAGGAACCAAAACCCAGTGGGTAGATAAGGGATTCTGGAAAGAAGTTATCCTCACCCAAGGAGGCCAGGTTCCTGTAGTTCTCTAACATCATGTCCCTATACAATTCCTGCTGACCGAGGTCCAGGCATTCCCACTCCTCTTGAGTGAAGTCTATGAGCACATCCTTGAACGTCAGCCATCCCTGAAATACAAAGTACAGATGCCATGGAGCCATGGGAATACTTCCTAATGTGACCCAAGATGAAACCAGCAAGAGAAATGGTTTTGATTTAGGAGAGTGGCTGGTCTTATAGAATATAATTTTTACACAGTAATGTTTTCTACCACATTTTTAACCCCAAGAAAATAGGATGAGATATGATCCATCAAGCACTACAGAAATTCTCCTGATTTAGAAGAGAAATTACAAAATAATCAGATCAACATTGGCATATTTATTTCTGAGTGTTGTACTCAGTTGACAGAGGATAAACTGTCTATCAAAAGAAATAGGAAATATTTTTTAAAAACATTTCCTGATCCAAGTGTTCTGGAGTGGGCTCAGTATGTCACATTTTTAACAAGCTTATTTGAACTAGTAATGTTGGAAATTCTGCTCCATGAGTGACAATGTTTGAACAGCAACGAAGCAGAATAGTAAGGAAAGAATTCATATTTAACTTTGAACTTTAAGTGCTTTACAGATTTTATAGGTCTGATAGGATAGTAACCTCGGTGACAAGAATCATTTTAATGATCTGGTATATACTATATGTCTTTATAACAGTTTTTCAGAGTCTTGAATGTATAACAGAAATAATTTAAAATCAATAATGTTGCTGTTGCATCTTTTCACAAATATTTTAACAAACATTCTTTAAATGAGAACTTAACTTTTACTTCAGTTTATGACTCTCGACTTTAATAAAACATAGACAAGTGCACAGAGCTAACTCTAATGAAAGTTTATAGAAATTTCTGTATTTGTAAATAATACTAAAAACAAGAAAAGTGTTAGTCACTCAGTTGTGTCCTACTCTTTGCAACCCCAGGACCTGTAGCCTGCCAGGCTTCTCTGTCCATGGGGATTCTCAAGGCATGAATCCTGGAGTGGGTAGCTACTCCCTGCTTCAGGGAATCTTCAAAACAGAAAAAGAAAAAAATCAATCAAATGATGTTAACATGTTCATTCATACAGACATACACTAAAATGGGATACTTATTAATAGTAATAGAGAAAAATTGTCATGTCAATAAAATCAGGATAATTTTTAACTGAAAGTGTACATAAATATTTGAGGATGATATTATTTTAATTTTTTAAAAAATAGACTAGGATGCAGACATATACAATGATAAAAAATTAGAGAGCTCTGGTTCTGAATCTTTTAATGTCCTGCAAAGTCTGTATCATTTGCATGGAGCTACATTTTAAAATTTAACACAGTTGAACTTAGATTAGCACTAATATGATTCTTGTAAACAGTTTGGAAAATACAGAAATGTGATGAGACTATACCTGTGATGTGAGGGTGGAGTGTACTGGAAATGATGAGGCCTGGGCTTGAGTGATGAAAACCCCCACTCTGAAACCCCAGCATCTCTACTAAACAGACGTGAGTGTTGTCAATAGCCAGCGACTCAACAACACAAACAAGGGCCTTTGCCATCTGCCTTTGCGGAGAATGAACCCTTTAGTGCTACAACTGTTGACTTCAATCGCCTCGAGGGAGTTCAGGGTGGATTGAAGCACTCTGCTCCAGCAAAGTCTGGTGGCACAGGTCTTTAGAGAGTTAGATATTTTCAAGAACTGCTTTCATGATCATAATCCTTGCATCTCTTCATATCTAGAAAAGCTCTAAACCACTATATGATGACATCAGCTCCTCACGATTGGCAGAAAACCTTTTGTTAAGTAAGCGCTTGACTGCACTGAACTCCCCCTTCACCAAAATCACATACTGACCTCCCCCCACTTTCTCTTTGGAGCAGTCTGTCAGAGCTATCTGAGGTGCTGTATCCTGGGCGGCTGTCCTCATTTTGCCCCAAATAAAACTTAATTCACATCTCTCAAATTGTGCATCTGTTTTAGCTGACAGTGTTCATTTTTCAAAGCAAAGAGCGACTAAGAAGATACGGGATTTCCTCATTAACTGTGATAGGCATATCCATCACTGTTTCTTTCCAAGAATCTTGTTCAAGACAGAAAAAAAATGAATTTCATAGCGTGGAAATCTCACAGAAGCACCTGAACCAGTGAACATCAGAGGTCATAGGGTACATGGAAAAATTCATTATCACTGCCAGCTATTTTGGCAATATTAGGAAAACCAAGATCTCAATCTATCAAAAAAAATGTCAGTTTTCTGCAAATTCCACCTCCTATATACCTCCCATGATCTGTAGCTTAATAGTCCATTTTTTTAGTACATATTTCTCATCAGTATAGAGGATTGTCTGTGCTACTTTAACTTCTGACAAGTTCTGGAATGCTGAGTTCATTCTACTAACAAGGACGTTTTCTTACTCTTGTTCTTCCTCTTCTAAAGAGCTGAATTGCATTCACATGTAAATTCATCACGGCATTTCCCGACTTCCCTAAGATCCCAACACCGAACCACATCCCAATGGGAATCTCAGATACCAGTGCCTCCCCGTGTTCATCTCTCACAAAGTGAATGTATTCAACATTGAAAGTCACTATTTCATGCTGAGAATTCATCATGCTCTATAGCCGGGATACAGACAATGGAGAAAAGGCTCTGGGACATCAGGGAGACGTAACCTGAACAGCTGGTTTTCACTATTTTAAAAAAAGGAAAAAATAAGGTGATAACAAGCATCCTAAGTAGAAAAATTAGCAGCAGAGAACTAAAGGTTTGCAGATTCTCAGTCCAGGTATTTCAGGAAGAACGGCAGACACAGCCCTAGACCCAGGACAGGACACATACCTGAGAAGCTGCCATTTCCTCTTCTTCCTCCTGCTCTGCGTCTTCTCCGGGGATGTTACATCCCAAACTCACATCTGCATCTTGAGAAAATACCTTCAAAGGCATCCATGCAGCTGTTTAACCTGCAACTGCTGCAGGGAAAGAGAAGAAAAAGTTTTCCTGTTTCCCTCACCCTTTTTTGAGCTCCTTTTCGACTTTCTGTGTTCCCAATCTGTAGTGGGGAATCAAGACTAACCTGATAATACTAATCACATCCTGGTGCTCTACACTATTTGCAGATCCTGCGGACTAGTTCTTCTCCTTCGTTTGCAGAGTTACAGAGGACACTTCACGAGAGACAAAGGACCCTGCTTCTGGGCTACCTGACCCAGCCTATGAGGGTTGTGAAAAAAATGCAAGAGGACGACCTGCATTCAGAGCCCTGAGGGGAAACCTCACACCTGAGACCTCAGGAAGGGAGGATTTAGGGAGGGAAATTCTAGAAACAAAGGTCAACCTGATTCCCTGGGGAGGGGCTCTTTCTAGGATGGGTGTGGTGGTCCACAGCCCGCCTGTATCCTTGGGGGCTGGGAGGGGAGAGGTGAGTGAGTGGTGGGAATCACCTAGGGGTCTTGGGTTCCTGCCAGGCTTTACTTGCAGAATTCTTCCCAAAGATCTCCCCCGTCCTTAGTTTTTTCCACCCCCTCTGCAGCCTGGGGACACAGGTTTTCACACAATGGTTTGCTTTGTGACCACCTCTCTGCAGGTGTGGCAACTCCCACTTCAGAGCCCAGGAGCCTGGAGGCATTTCCATCCCCGCTTTCTTGGAAAAGAAACTCTTGCAGGAAGGGGGACCCCTTCGAGGCCTGAAACTGGGCTCTAGTCTAACACTTGGAAATGAATTGTCCGAGGAGACACATGCTGACAAACCAAGAGATTTTATTGGGAAAGGGCACCCGGGTGCAGAGCAGGAGGGTAAGGGAACCCAGGAGAACTGATCTGCCTTGTGGCTCGCAGTATTGGGTTTTATGGTGATGGGATTAGTTTCGGGGGGTCTTTGGCCAATCATTCTAATTCGGTCTTTCCTGGTGGCCCACGCATCACTCAGCCAAGATGGATGCTAGCAACAGGGATTTTGGGAAGTGGACGCAAGTGGACGGAAACGCGGGGTCTCCATGGGCAGAAGGCAAAAGAAAGATGCTCACCGGTGCTAAACAATAAGAAACGCAAAACAACCCTACAGGGATATATCACCGCAAGCCAGTCAGAATTACAATGAGCAAAAAGCCCACTAAGAATATCATAAACGCTGAAGGGGCTTGGAGATCAGGGAACCTCCTACATGGCTGGAGGGAAGGTAAGCTGGTGCAGTCAGGTGGGACGACTGTGGGGAAGTTCCTTAAAAAACATAACCTCCTGACAGTCAAGGAAATGAATTCCATGAATAGTACACAAAACAGATTAATCGACAAATTCACAAGTTTTACAGTTTTTAGTAAATCATCTGCAATTCTGAAATGACCAGTTTGATCTAGCATTTCTAAATTCTCTAAGTTAAATGTGTAAGAACACACATACACTCACATATTCCTTCTTGGGTTTCTCACTGTTAACATGTTTACCTTCAGATATTTATATCTTATATTCAGTGTGTGTTATATAAATCATATTATATATATATCTTCAGATATTTATATATTACATTCAAAGTATGCCAAAGCCATGAGAAAACATTTCCTTTAAGCCTTACAAGACACATGTGTGAAGAATTACACAGGGTAAGATTTTGTAAATCTTGGTTCAGAATTTTCCCATCATGGCTTTTGACTATTCTTTTTGTGACTTTGTTAAACTTACATTTGCTTAAATGAGCCCCTGAAAAGTTTTAGCTAACAGAAGAACAAAGGACAATTGTAGCAGGTGAGTTTATGACTCTAGGTCCTCAGAGAATCAAGCCTTGAGGGCCCCCGAGGAAGGTCAAGGCTAGAACCAGGCAGAGAAAATTCCAGTCCTTGGGGTTCAGACCTGACCCCGGGTGAAGTGCTGTGAGTCCCACAGGCTGAGTGTGGAAGGGTCCATTCTAAGAAAGAGGAGCAGGATTCTGGTGAGCTAAGAGGGCATCACTGAAGGGGGGCCTGTGCAGTAGACCCTCGGGGGGGTGGTGTTCAGCAAGACTGCTGGTGTCAAGGAAGGGGTCATCTAGTTCAGGTGCTCACAGGACCGGCTGGTGTGAGTTCAAGGACCTGCAGGCTGCCTGCTCCCCAGACAGACGCTGAGGCAGCAACAGCATGGAGCAGCTCAGGGGAGCTCTTAACAGTGCTCTGTATGATCCTTCTTATTAGAACCACCACGATGTCCAAGTAGATAAAAATCAGAGAGGAGATACAACATGGAAATGGTGGGAAATATATGAAGTAATGAGAGGTTTAACGGCAGTAAGGAACTAGTTTCTACAGATGCCATCCCCCGTGCTACAAATAGTTTATCATTACATTACCTTTCCTGCAACCTTAAATAGGTGGGAGAGTTTAATCCTGGTGGTGCGTTAACCCTTCATTCATTCCACATCAATTGTAACACTGAAAAACCATTCACTTTTATTAATCAAGACACATTAATTTTACACAGATGGAATAAAACCTTTTAGAATTGTTGTTTGATCCTTGATTAAAATACACATTACAAGCTTCTAAAAACTTTCCTGTTTCTCTGATTAAGTGATCACAGAATGTGATTTATATGGTTTACAAAATGGAGGCTAATGAAGTAAACATGGATGGACATTAATTATATTAATATGACTTTTCCAGAAAGAGTTTTCAATACTTACATAAGATAGAAGAGGTGTCCTTCCTTCAAGCCTGCCAGATAATATGCATGATTTCTCTCTGTTGCTGTTATAAAAATACCTTAGATATTCATGAACTATCCTTGTTTTGTGCTTAAAAAGCAAGTGACATAATTATTGAAAACTTAGAGCAAACTTCTATCTTGCTTTGAATTATTCCCTGAACACTTACATCATGGTGACCACAGAGGTGTCTGACATCATTGACAAATACCTCCATTCAGAGGTTTAGTGTGTATATAACATGACTGTGTTCTTAATCTTATAAATTGGAGAATAAATGTAAATGATTCCCACTTAATATTGAAGGGCTTCTCTTATCATTGGGCAACAACCATCAAAAACATAAGTTCATGTGTACAGTAGAAACAAATCACATGTTTTAATTTGAGAGGTGAATTACATTCATTTTTGTTCCTTAATAATCTCAAATAATGTTAACATAAGCAAGGATACATTAATAATTATACCTCTGCAAATATCCACCCCTTCCTCTTGTGATCCATACTAACATATCAATTTTGTATGTGTTTTACTTATGGAATACATGCTATAGTGTTTCTGCTTCAAGTAATTCAACAAAAGTGGTACTAATGAAATGCTTTCTAGTATGAATTCTCTGGTATTGAGTTACTTTTCATGTTTGATTAAGCAGTTTTCTACATTTTTTTATTTCATTTGGGTATCTGTCAGAAGAAAACACTAGTTTTTTCAAAATTGTATATTTAGGACCAAATTTTTTGTCACTGATTCATTTCTAGGGTTTCTCTGCAGTATGAATTCTCTGAGTGACGTGATGGCTGTGATGAAATCCTTTGCCACATTCCTTACATTTCTAACATTTCTCTGCAGCATGAACTCTCTGATGCCCAGAAAGACCTAAACTCTGGGAAAAGGCTTTGCCACATGCTGTACATTTATAAGGTCTCTCCCCAGTATGGATTCGCTGATGCCGAGTAAGAAAGTAATAACGGGTAAAGGCTTTGCCACATTCTGTACATTTATAATGTCTTTCCCCGGTATGTATTCGCTGATGTTGAGTTAAAGCTGAACTCTGCTTAAAAGCCTTGCCACATGCTGTACATTTATAAGGCCTCTCCCCAGTATGGATTCGCTGATGTTGAGTTAAAGTTGAAATCTCCTTAAAAGCCTTGCCACATGCTGTACATTTATAAGGTCTCTCTCCAGTATGGATTCGCTGATGTCCAGTAAGAAAATAATAACGGGTAAAGGCTTTGCCACATTCTGTACATTTATAGGGTTTTTCTCCGGTATGGATTTGCTTATGTTGAGTTAAAGTTGAACTCTGCTTAAATGCCTTGCCACATTCTGTACATTTATAAGGTCTCTCCCCAGTATGGACTCGTTGATGCCGAGTAAGAAGAGAATAAATGATAAAGGTTTTGCCACATTCTATACATTTATAAGGTCTCTCTCCAGTATGGATTCGCTGATGTCGAGTAAGAACATAATAATGGATAAAGGCTTTACCACATGCTGTACATTTATAAGGTCTCTCCCCAGCATGGATTTGCTGATGTTGAGTTAAAGATGAAATCTCCTTAAAAGCTTTGCCACATTCTGTACATTTGTATGGTTTCTCCCCAGCATGGATTTGCAGATGTTCAGTTAAATATGAACTCTGATTAAAGGTTTGGCCACATGCTGTACATTTGAAAGGTTTCCTTCCTATATGAATTTTCCTAAGTCTACTTAGATTTGGTGAGTTACTAAAGACTTTTCCACATGTATTACACTTGCAATGTTTCTGCTTACTCTGAATTATCTGCTGTTGAATAAGGTTTGAAGGCTGGTTAACAACTTTAACATAATCATAACAATTATAACTCTTCTCTCCAATATCCATACTCTTATAAGTATCAATAATAAGATTTGAGCTTTGTTGAAATATATTCCTACGCTGATGATGTTTAGAATTGTTGTCTGAAAATTGATGTCCCTGTTGTTTCACGGGATATGAGTCTTGGTCAACATTATGCCCAGTTTCATTGCTTGAAGAGCTTCTCATTCCATCATGTATACTTTTGTAACTATTGGGGGTAGAGCTCCTGCTTAAGGCATTCCTCATTTTGTTACACTTGGAAAGTTGTTCCACACTAATTATACCTCCATATGTGTTGAATAATGATGGTTGAATAAGGTCTCTCCCATTATTATCAACATTACAGATTTTGGAACAAGGAGAAAATGGTTGTTGGTTGAAGGACAAGAAATCCTTGTTAAAGGATCCCTCAAATTGATTGTATTGGGAATTTTCCCCCTCATGTTTAAGTTTCTGGTTTTCAGACGTGTTTGAATGAATATTTAATAGACAGCTATGCTCAGAATATAGGTTTGAATGAGTATTTGCAGTAGAGACTAGATGACTTTCCAGATTTTCCACATTTCCCTTCAGAGAACATGTATGTATCAAGAGATGATGTGGGCCTTTGCTGACAAATATACACTTATCTGAAGATGTTGATGACTGAAACTGGTCATCTGAAATTGGTTTTTCCTTATTTGATTCACATCCTTGATTTCTTTTGGCAGTAATGTTTAGTTTATGGGAAACTGAACCAACTTGGTTGTGTCCATCATAACATGCTCTCTGCCCTTTATAGGGCCTCATAGATTGCCAGTCTTTGGTTAAATGTAAATTTCCAAGGTGAAATCTTTCATATATTCCTAGCTTTGCTGTTGGGAGTAAATCTTCAAAGCCTGGCTTTTGGGTCCTCAAACCCTGGGTGTTGTGGGAAGACACAGCTGAAAGATACCAAATAATAAGATATTCTACTTACTATTCTTGGGGAATATAGTTTACAATTTACATAAAATTGGCATACACTTGGCTAGATGAAGCCTAAAACCGAGATAGAAGGAGTCAAGATGGCAGAGGATTCGGAAGACGTGGAGTTCATCTCTCTCCACAAAAGCATCAAGAATACATCTTGAAGTGGAACAATTCTCACACAGCCCTGCGGAACATGGGCAGAGGAACTTGGACAACTGATAGGACAAGAAAGATTCCTGCTGAGCCAGGTAGGACAAGAGAGTGATGGAGGAAAGGGAAGAGGAAAAGAAGCCGGATGGGACCCGCAAAACCCTGGGGGGATCTGGAGAGAGGAGAGGTCTCCACATCCAGGGAAGCCCCTCACTGGGGGGAGTTCAGTTGGGACAGAAGGGGAGCCTCGTTCTCTGTGGGAAGAGAACACGGCAACCAGCGAACAGGACAGAGTGAGACCTGCACGCAGGGTACTGATCCCTGCCCTGCCCACCCAACCTGAAAGGGTGTCCTCTGCTGCAGACAAGGCCTGGGTGCTGGAACATGGGTTTCGGAGAGCAGACCCAAGCAGAGGACTGCGGTTGGCAGTGAGGAGACATCCTGAGGGGACGGGAGGGAGGGAGGAGCTCTGCCAATGGGATGCTTGTGGAGGAAGCCTGAACCACCAGAAAAGCAGAGCGGCGTTGATGAGTGATGCCCAAGAAGAACCTCTTTGCAGCCTCTCTGCCCCTCTGCCTGTTCCTGACTCTCCAGGCACTAGGCATGGCTCCCACCTAGGTGGGTGATTGCACGACCCCCACAGCTGCTACCTCCTCCTCAGCAGGGTAGACTCATGGGCTCCATCGGCACATTCAGGACACCCGCCTGTGGGTCGTCCCAATGTATAGGAGGTGCTGAAACCTTAGCTGAGCTCCAAGGCCCTGCGACTAAGCAAGAAAAGCTGAGATATCTCCTTGCATCTGTACAAACCATGGTCTTACACCTCATAACTGCCTTGGTAAACTCAGCCCCAACAAAACATCTGGAAGGAAATGGGCTCTGGCAGTCAAGACCAGTCTTGCTTTAGCAACTGTAGACTCTGTAGGCATGCACACGTGGCATTTGGGCCAGGTCACAGACTACATTGCCCCCATAGCACCGCAGTGGATCCAGCTCCACAATGAATGTACACCTGGGATATGACTACAGTGGATCTCTGCTGGTGACCTGGTGAAAACAACATCAGAGAGACACCAGGGTCAAGTGCCAGCATACCCATGTTTCAGGTGGGGCCAAGAACAATGCCAACACAGGGTCACATGAGAGCTCACACAGCACATGAAAGATGACACGCAGAGCACTCTCAGAGGAGAACATCCCCAGAGGAGCAACACTCAGTGGCTTCCCTCCCAGTGGGTGTGCTCCAGTCCTACTAGATCAGAAGCACCACAGATCAGAGCAGAGCTCATTTCAGATCTGGGGCCTCTGTTCCACCAATCAGGAAGCAGACCCTGCCACAGACAGTGAGAGCTACAGAGGAGAGGCGAAGCTGCCCTCAAGATCCGGGCAGGCTCTGATCACAGTAGTAACCATCAACCCCCTCTTAAGGGCAGAAGGGCACAAGTCTCTGGACCGCCTCACCCACCATGGGGCAGACACCACAGCAAGAGGAACTAGGATCTGCAGCCTGCAGAACAGAGACCACAATCACAGAACATTGTACAACATGAGATGGCAAAGGAGTATGGTGCAGAGTAGAAGTCAAATAGAAACCTGCAGGAACAATGAAGGGAGGAGAAGTTGAGCAGTGTACTGAGTAAATTTTGCTTTAAGTAATCAAACTTACAAACAAAACGTTTTCACAAATGCTAATGCCTACTAATTATTAACCCACTTACAACTCACGTTGTTATCTGAGCATGTTCTAATAGAGTCTAAAATAGTAATGATATTGACCTAGAACTAATCAGAAATAGATGGCATAAATGATAAAGTCCTGGGATGTTTCATAACAAACAAGATAGATTTAATATGGTAAGAGTTCTTAACAAATCAAATGAGAAGTGAGTCTTGAAAAATATGGTGAGAAAACAGGGAACTCTACTCAATGCTCTGTGTTGACCTAGATGGGAAGGAAATACAATCAAGAAGGGAAATGTGTATATGTATCACTTATTCTTTCTGTATAGCAAAACTAACATAGCATTGTAAAATAACATTATTGGAACAGAAAAATTTCTTCCTAAAGATTTCTCTATATAATCTATAAGCTTAATAGTGAAGAACAATCAGAAAAGAGCACTGTGGGAAATGTTCTAAACTCCCACATTAATAATTTCTTTAAAAACTCTGTGAGTTAAATAAATATATTAAAGCATTTTAGCATTAATGAATTGGGACAAACATACTTAACACATTTAATGTTAGTTCATATAAAAAAAGAGAAGGTGTAACATAAAATTCAGATTTGCATTTTCTCATTTTAGTGAGGTGTCTTATGTGAAGAAGGAACTCATAGGGCCTGGACTCCATCTCAGTCCTGTCTGTGCTGATCATGCGCGGCCACCTCACCAGTGGACTCTGAACTTTCTGCTTAGTGCCTTTGGGAACGACAATGGAAGGATAAGACCCCCTCTGGACAGGGGAACCTTGAAGATCATATCCAGGTTACCTATCACCTAAGAGAGGACAGAAACTAGTCACCCCTGCCTCCGGACACTGTCTATCAGAATGTAAGCACAGGTTATCGGTTATTAACTGGTTGGAATGTAACCGTGGGCTTATTGATTATTAACTGTTTGAACACATAACACGTGAATGATGGGGTTATGGTGATTATATTTACCCTTCCTTTGTAAGCAGCAAGGGATTGGGGTGGTGGGTTTGGACACGTATACATGGGGTATAAAAGATTTTCACAAATGCTGGTCAGGGCCCTTGGCTAAGAGGAGACTCTGCCTTGGGCCGACTGGTGTAATAAACTGCGCTATACTATCTGCATTGTCCTTCTGAGTGAGTTTGTTTCCCGGAAAGCATGGCTATAACAATGCAGTGAAGAAAGAATTTGATTATGAAATTTCTAAGGTCATATGTGTAGTTTCCAGTGGACTGGAAATTATGTGGTAGAAAACAAAAAACATCTGTCCCCAGTATTCCTAGAAGTTTGGCAATTTTTTCACAGCTCCACCCACACACTTGTGACTAGGGACAGAATCAGCACTTTTAAAAGGGCTTAATATAGTTACTCAGAAATATGCACAGATTTTCTAAAACCTCCCCCAAATGGATGAATTATCAGGTCATGCAGGTTGTTCCAGGCCAAGACAAATATTTTGGTTCTAACTGTGAATGTGAAAAGTAACCACTGGAGAAAAATACCCAAATGATAAAAAGAATCAGGAATGGGTCAGGAGATGATGCTCTATGACAGTGACAGAAATAAACTTAGCCTAATCCAAAATCATCTCCACGGAAGGACATCTTCTCAAAGCACATGACAAAGTATGACCTCCTCCCCAATGCTTGTCCCTCTCACCCGAGTTAGCTGCTTCATTCATAGACACATACTTGGGTATATGGCTGTCTCCATTCTCCTTACATCCCAGGGATCCTTCATTTGCTCCAGAAACGTGACCAGGTCTGGCTTAGAGACCACAAGACCTGTTCATCAGAAAAAGGAATATGTGTTTTCTGAGATATTCATCAATTTCCAATCCAATATGTGTTCAGGTGAGAGAGAAGTCAAAGTAGAAAGTTCAAATAGCATTAAAAAGATGATTTCACCAAATAGTTTATTGGAAGCATCTTTAAAAGACAAAAGCATCAAAATCAGATTCTGGTATCATCCTCAAGTACTACTAAGGCAAAAGCAGGTAGTGGAGTTCCGGTTTTAAGAGGAGAGTGGCACTATTTGATACCACAGAACTTACAGAATTACCACGAACCTAGAATGAACAATATGCAGGTCAAGAAGCAACAGTTAGAATCGTACATGGAACAGTTGACTGGTGGCAGATTGGGAAAGGAGTACATCAAGGCTGTACATGGCCACCCTGCTTATTTAATTTCTATGCATAGTACATCATGCGAAATGCTGGGCTGGATGAATCACAACCTGGAATCAAGATTACCAGGAGAGATATCAACAACCTCAGCTATACAGATGATATCACTCTAATGGCAGAAATTGAAGAGGAACTAAAAAGGCTCTTGATGGGGGTGAAAGAGGAGAGTGAGAAAGCTGTCTTAAAACTCAACATTCAGGAAACTAAGATCATGGCATCCAGTCTCATCACTTCATGGCAAATAGATAGAGGAAAAGTGGAAACAGTGACAGATTTAATTTGGGGAGCAGGCAGGGGCTCCAAAATTACTGCAGATGGTGACTGCAGCCATGAAATTAAAAGATGCTTGCCAAAAAAAATAAAAATAAAAATAAGAGATGCTTGCCCTTTGGAGGAAAAGCTATGACAAAGACAGCATATTAAAAACCAGAGACATCACTTTGCCTACAAAGGTTCATATAGTGAAAGCTAGGTTTTTTTCAATAGTCATGTATGGATGTGATATTTGCAACATAAAGAAGGCTGAGCACCAAAGAACTGATGCCTTCCAACTGTGGTGCTGGAGAAGACTCTTGAGAGTCCATTGGTCAGCAAGGAGATCACACCAGTCAATCCTAAAGAAATCAACCCTGAAGATTCATTGGAAGGACTGATGCTGAAGCTCTGATACTTCGGCCCCCTGATGCAAAGAGCCAATTCATTGGAAAAGACCCTGATGCTGGGAAAGATTGAGGGCAGGAGAAGAGAGTGGCAGAAGATGAGATGGTTGAATAGCATTATTGACTCAGTGGATATGAATTTGAGCAAACTCTGGGAGTTAAAGAAGGCTAGGGAAGCCTGGCTTGCTGCATTCCACGGGATCGCAAAGAGTTGGACATGACTTAGTGACTGAACAACAAGGAGGCAGGTTGCATCGAGAAAGAAGGTTACTCTCCCCTGGAAAGTAGGGATCTTAACCTCAACTGCACAAAGCAGAAAATTCCAGGAGACATTCTAGAATGAATGAACCAAAACACTGAGGATACATAAGGGATTCTGGAAGCAAGTTATCCTCACCCAAGCAGGCCAGATTCCCGTAGTTCTCTAACATCACATCCCTGTACAATTCCCGCTGACCGAGGTCCAGGCATTCCCACTCCTCTTGAGTGAAATCCACGGTCACATCCTGGAATGTCAGCAGCCCCTGAAATATAAAGGACATGAGCCATGTGGACCTTGGAAGAATTCCTAATGTGACCCAAGATGAAACGAGCAAGAGAAATGGTTTTGATTTAGGAGAATATCTGGTGTTACACAAGAATATAATTTTATACTACCGTATTTTCCACTGTATTTCTAACCCCAGGAAAAGAGAATGAGATATGATCCACAGACCACTATAGAAACTATTCTGATCTGGAAGACAAATTATAAAACAATCGCATCAACACTGACTTATCTGTTTTTGAGAGTTGTACTCCTGTGACACAGGATAAAGTGTCTATCAAGGAAAGCATGTTAGTCACTCAGTCATGTCTGATTCATTCTGACCCCATGGACTGTAGCATGCCAGGCTTCTCTGTTCATGGGATTTTTCAGGCAAGAATACTGGAGTGAGTTGCCATTTCCTTCTCCAGGGGAATCTTCCCCGCCAAGGGATCAGACCCGGGTCTCCCACATGGCAGGCAGATTCTTCACCATCTCAGCCACCAGGGCAGCCCCCTATCAAGAAAACAGGAAATATTTTTGAAAAGCATGCTCTGATCTAAGAGTTCTGGAGTGGGGCCACTGTGCAGCGTTTTAAACAAGCTTATTTTAACTAGTAATGTTGAAAATTCTGATACATGAATGACCATCCTGAATAGCAAAGCAGTAGACCACTCAGGTAAGAATTTATACTTAACTTTGAATTTTAAGTGTTTTACAAAATGGACAGGTCTAATAGAATAGTACCCATAGCAGCAATAATCATTTGAACTATTTAGTATATACTATATGTCTTCTAAAAGTTTTTACAGGGTCTTGACTGCATCACATTAATATAAAATCAACAACATTGTTGTTCCACCGTTTTGGAAATATTTTGACAAACATTCATAAAATGACAGATCTTGAATTTGCTTCAGTTTATGTGAACTAAAATTTAACTGGTAAAACACAAATACAGAGACAACACTAAAGAAAACGTATACGAGTTTTTCTAGCGTCTTCCCTGGTACTCTGAGCTCCCAAGTCAGGGGACTGGGTTCAGTCCCTTGTTAGAGAACTAGATCCCACACGCCACAGCTAAAGTTTGCCTGCTGCCACAAAGTCTCCCACATGCCTCCAAGATTCTGCAGGCTACAACGAAGACACAACTCAGTCAAACACAAATACGTGTATTTTTAAAAAGAACTTTATATAACTGGGGAGAATACCAAAACAAGAATAAAAATTTTTTAACATTTTCATGCATACAGACATATTAAAATGAGACTATATACTTACTAAGAGTATTAAGGAAGAGCTAACATTCAGAAAACGAAGATGACGGCATCTGGTCCATCACTTCATGGCAAATAGATTGGGAAACAGTGGCTGACTTTTTTTTTCAGGGCTCCAAAAACACTGCAGATGGTGACTGCAGCCACAAAATTAAAAGACGCTTACTCCTTGGAAGGAAAGTTATGACCAACCTAGACAGCATATTAAAAAGTAGAAACATTGCTCTGTCCACAAAGTTTCGTCTTGTCAAGGCTATGGTTTTTCCAGTAGTCATGTATGGATGTGAGAGTTGGACTATAAAGAAATCTGAGCACAGAAGAATTGATACTTTTGAACTGTGGTGGTGGAGAAGCCTCTTGAGAGTCCCTTGGACTGCAAGGAGATGCAATCAGTCCATCTCAAAGGAAATCAGTCTGGATGTTCATTGGAAGGACTGATGTTCAAGGTGAAACTCCAATATTTGGGCCATCTGATGCAAAAAACTGACTCATTTGAAAAGACCCTGATGTTGGGAAAGATTGAAGGCAGGAGAAGGGGACGACAGAGGATGAGATGGTTAGATGGCATCACTGACTCAATGGACATGAGATTGGGTAAATTCCAGGAGTTGGTGATGGACAGGGAGACCTGGAGTGCTGCGGTTCATGGGGTCTCAAAGAGTCTGACACACATGAGCAACTGAACAGAACTGATTCGTGTTCAGTTCAGTTCAGTTCAGCTGAGTTCATTCATATTCATGGCAATTAAATCGATATTCATGTCAATAAAATCAGTTCATGTTCAGTTCAGTTATTCATATTCACGTCAATAAAACTGAGATTGTTTTTAATGTGTTAAAATATATACATCTACTTGTGGATGATATTCTTTGTGTATTTTAAATACACTAGGGTGCAAACATATACAATGGTATAAGATAAATTAGAGCTCTTGGTTCTGAAGCTTTAATTTCTTGAAAAACTGTATCATTTTGTAGAGCTGTATCTTAGAAATTCAACACAGGTGAAAACAGACTAGCACCAATATGATTGCTGCAAATATTTTGATAAAAAAATACTAAAATGTAAGAAGACTATGTCTGTGATATGAGCGTGGAGTGTACAGGAAACATCACACTTGGGCTTGAGTGATGAAAACTCCCACTCCCAAAACCCAGTATCTATCATCAACACAGTGACTGTTCATTTTCCAAAGCAAAGAGAAACCAAGAAGATGTGGAGTTTCTCCATTAACTGTGACAGTTTTCACATGATCCTCATTCCATTTTTCCACAGTCTTGTGTAAAGACAGAGGGAAACAAAATGAACTTTATAGCCTGATAATCTCAGAGGAATCACCAGAGCCAGTGGACAACATCTGTCATGGTGTAAATGGATCACACGGAAGATGCACTATCAGAACATGGGCATTTCAGAAAAAATAAGGAAATCATAACTTGAACCTAACATAAAAAATATCAGTTTTATGCAACATTCATTTCATATCTACTTCCTCTGTTTTGTATCCTAACAATGTTGTCACGCGATTGTATGTTCCTCGGTTGTTTGTCTCGTCACAACAAAAATTTGGAGTGACGGACATTAAAGCCCCTTGGCGGGTCACGGCTATCGGAGGACAGACCGTGTTATAACTCTTAAATAAATCAGTGTTACAGCTCTATTTATTTAGATAATAGCCGGAAAATCCATCTCGAGTTGTGAGGACATGTCAATCCAAAGACACGAAGAGAAGATCGCCCCATCGCGCGGGAGAGAGAGAGAGAGAGAAAGAAGAAGGAAGAGGGCTTTGGCTCCTCTTTTTATCTGTTTCTCTGCCCCTGGGTCTGTCTTATGTCAATCGGGCCTAGGCTGGCGAGTTGTTTGTTTAACCTGAGGTTCTCACTCCAGTCCTCGGACCTTCCTTTGTTCTATTTTCGCGGGCTTTGCCTTCCAGGTCTTTTACCCACCGCCATTTTGGACTCTTTTCCCCTATTCTAACTACCTAACAATGGGTTTAACTAGTAAGTCTTAGCATTACAGAGGACAGTATCTCATAGTTTTCTTCTTATTTCTGAGCATTTTCTGAAAAATTCTGGATCACGGAGCTTATTCAATAAATAAGGGCATTTTCTAACTCCTAAAGAGCTGAAATTGCATGCCCATGTAAACTCATCATGGCATTTCCCCTAGTTCCATAAGATCCCAACACCGAACCACATCCCAGTGGGAATCTCGGATACCAGTGCCTCTCTGTGTTTCTCTCTCACAAAGGACATATATTCACAAGTTGAAAGTCGTTAATTCATGTTGAGAATTCACCATGCTCCGTAGAAAGCCAGGGTAGAGACAAGGGAGACAAGATTCGGGGACACAGCGAGGAGTGGTCTAAAGAGCCAGGCTTCACTATAAGAAGAAAAGGAAAAAATAAAGAAGTTGATAACAAACACCCAGGCAGAAAAGTTAGAGGCAGAGAACTAAAGGTTTGCAGGTTCGCAGTCCAGGCATTTCAGGAAGAAAAGCAGACACAGCCCCAGACCCAGGACAGGACACATACCTGAGAAGCTGCCATTTCCTCCTCTTCTTCCTCCTGCTCTGCGTCTTCTCTGGGGATGTTACATCCCAAACTCACATCTGCATCTTGAGAAAATACCTTCAAAGGCATCCATGCAGCTGTTTAACCTGCAACTGCTGCAGGGAAAGAGAAGAAAAAGGTTTCCTGTTTCCCTCACCCTTTTCTGACCTCCTTTTCGACTTTCTGTGTTCCCAATCTGTAGTGGGGAATCAAGACTAACCTGATAATGCTAATCACAACCTGGTGCTCTACACTATTTGCAGATCGTCTGGGCTAGTTCTTCTCCTTCCTTTTCGAGTTACAGAGAACAGTTCACGAGAGACAATGGACCCTCCTTCTGGGCTACCTGACCCAGCCTTTTAGGGTTGTGAAAAAAATGCAAGAGGACGACCCGCATTCAGAGCCCGGAGAGGAAACCTCACACCTGAGACCTCAGGGAGGGTTTAGGGAGGGAACTTCTAGAAACAAAGAAGGTCAACCTCATTCCCTGGGGAGGGGCTCTTTCTAGGATGGGTGTGGTGATCCACGACCTGCCTGTACCATTGGGGGCTGGGAGGGGAGAGGTGCGTGTTCGGTGGGAATCACCTGGGGGTCTTGGGTTCCTGCCAGGCTTTACTTGCAGAATTCTTCCCAAAGATCTACCCTGTCCTTAGTTTTTTCCACCCCCTCTGCAGCCTGGGAACACAGGTTTTCACAAAATGATTTGCTTTGTGATCACCTCTCTGCAGGCGTGGCACCTCCAGCCTCACAGACCAGGAGCCTGGAGGCATTTCCATCCCCGCTTTCTTGGAAAAGAAACCAGGGGCAGCAGGAGGCCTGGCGAGCTGCAGTCCAGGGCGACTGAGCAACTGCACTGAACTGAACTGAGCAGGACACGCCAGGTTCACAGTGTGTATGGGCAGAGCCAAATGCCTCTGAAAACGATGCCCTAAATGCTATCTGATGACCAACCAAGGAAGTAATGATCGGTTTTGTCATAAGTTACAACACACATGAATTAACAACTGAGAATGAAGAAGGAATTCATAGGGTCTGGGCTTCATCTCAGGCCTGTCCGTGCTGATCGTGCTAGGCCGCCTCTCCAGTGGACTCTGAACTCTGTGCTTAGCGCCTGTGGGGACGACAGTGGAAGGATAAGACCCCCTCTGGACAGGGGAACCTTGGCGAGAAAACAGACACTAATCACCCCTGCGTCAGGACAGTATCTATTGGAATGTAACCACAGGCTTATCGGTTATTAACTGGTTGGAATGTAACCGGGCTTATTGATTATTAACTGTTTAAACACATAACACGTGAAGGATGGGGTTATTGTGATTGTATTTAGCCTTCCTTTGTAAGCTTCAAAGGATTTGGGGTGGTGGGTTTGGACACGTACACATGGGGTATAAAAGATTTTCACAAATGCTGGTTGGGGCCCTTAGCTAAGAGGAGACTCTGCCTTGGGCCCGCCGCTGTAATAAACTGCACTCCACTATCTGCATTGTCCTTCTGAGTGAGTTTGTTTCCCAGAAAGCGTGGCTATAACATTTGGTGCATGGGCCGGGAAACTCCTCCCTTTGAGGAGACAAGTCTCATTTGAGGCCACCCCGAGGCTTTGTAGCTTGAATCTCCTAGAGGGGGGAAGGCGTCTCGCCCCTCTGGAAGGATTCTGCTTCTCAACACTCGGACCTTTCACGTCAGCATGTAGTGGACGGCAGCAGGGGAACTGAGCGCTCAGGTGAGGAGGAACCCACCCGGCTGGGTGGAAGAGGGGGCCTGATCACCCCCCTGGGAGGGACTAGAAGGAGCGGGGGCCCACAGGAGCCTGGAATAGGCAGGCGGCGATTGCTTGGTACACAGGCCGACTAGTGTGCTAGGGTCATTTAGGAGGTGTGTCCACGCCATCTCGGGGAAAATTATTACCAAGCGATCGCCAGGGGGTTTTTAGGACAGGAAACTGGTCCTTGTATGCTCTTATTCTGCCCGCCCCCAGGAGGTGTCCTGTCTGCTGTGAAATTCTTGAACCCCTCGGAATTGTTAGGCTAGAAGGAGGGGGATACAGAAGTGAGTAAGAATTGGCTTTTCCGGAGATGGCCTGGGACATGGGATATTTAACCCATCTGTGTTTTCATTCGCACCTGATCAAGCCCGCCAAGGCAGAATGGACTTTAAGGGAGAAACAGTCTTGGACCACGTGGTGTTTTGGTTAGGCTGTGCTGACCGGCAGGTGAAGACACGCCAATCCGCCTTCTCCCTCGGGTCTGGAAGGTAAGGCTCTTCTCACCCCAATTAGGAAGGAGGCAGAGTGGCAATTTAAGTGTCACTGAGTGGAAATATGAGAAGTACATAGGGTACTGAGAATTTCGTAGACAGAACGAAAAGGAAAAGTAGAAGAAGGTCCGAGAAGGTAAGCAAGATGGGGGGAAGTGAATCTAAGGCAACTGTATTGGAGTGCATGATTAAAATTTTAAGGAAGGGATTAGGAGTAGACTATGGGGTGAAGATGAAGCCTAACTGCCTCCACATTCTCTGTGAGGTCAAATGGACGTCTACGGGAGCAGGATGGACATCAGAGAACACCGTGAACTTAAAAATAGTGGAAGCAACCTACACAGTAGTCACAGGAGAGCCAGGACACCTGGATCAACATCCATCTCTTGACTCATGGCTAGGGTGAGCTTGAGACCCTCCTGCTTGGACAAGGTTCTGTATCCAGAAGGGAAAGGGAAAAATATTAAGGGCACAAAAATTGACTGATGATAAAAAAGGAAATTCTACAGGATTTGGACGGGGATGACTTGACCCCTCCCCCAGGCTGGATAATGAAATGCCTGCCTCCCAGTGCTTCACCAGGACCGGAGCCCGCCATAATGTCCAATCCAGGGCCAGGTGAAGTTTCTGCAGCAGCCGCTGCTCCTCCGCCAGCTCTCCCAGAGTTCGTAGAGCCGCCGTTTGGGCAGCCTCCGATCCCGGTGACAGAAGCCTCTGGCCAACACTTCCAGGATCCGGCTCCAACCGAACCGCCCAAGCTATACCCGCCTCTCCCGGTGAGTACTGACAAGAAGGGGAGGGAGATGTTGGAATTAAGCAGAGACCGCGCTCTGCCAGAGAGTCGAAGGGGACGAAAGAGAACAGACAAGAAACTTACAGTGCTGGCTGCTGCTCTGGGAAAGCCTATCTAAGGCCCTCCGGAAAACCTCATCTGCCCCAGGGACAGGACAGTCCTTCAACCAGTCCCAAGGGAGGCCCTGGGCCCGTTACAGCCAAACCAGTGTGCCCGATGCCGAGGTTTTGGCCACTGGAAGAATGAATGCCCTAAGGCAAGGAAGGAAGAGGAAGCTCCAGCAGTTGTGGGGCTTGCTGACTTGGAAATTAACTAGGGCTGCCAGGGCTCAGAGATATCAGGTCCCTGAGAGCCCATGGTAACCGTAAAAGTGGGGGACCAAAACCCTGACTTCATGGTGGACGCAGGAGCAGAACTGTCGGTAGTAACAAAACCTGTGGCACCACTGTCCAAAGAGACTACCGATGTAATTGGGGTATCGGGAGAAGAGATGATTAAATCGTTTTGCCAGCCCAGAAAATGTCAGATTGGGGGGGGAGGGCAGGGGACACCAAGTGATTCATGAATTCCTCTACATTCCTGAGTGCCCAGTACCCGTATTGGGAAGAGACTTGCTCTCCAAACTAGGAGCACAAGTGACTTTCTCCTCTGAGGAGAGGCCCACCTTCTGGACGGACTCTATGACTTATTTGCCCTCTCTCTCAATACCAACCCAAGATGAGTGGAAGTTGCATGAGCCTCTGAAGGCAGAACCGGGTGGTCCAGAAGAGCATGAGGGAGCTAACTCAATTATTCCCTGAGGTCTGAGTGGAAGACAACCCCCCTCCTCCCAGGCTGGCTAAACATCATGCCCCAGTGATAATAGAACTCAAACCAGGCACCATCTCTGTTAGAGAGCGCCAGTACCCGCTATGGATAGAGGCCTGACCCGGCATATTGCCCCACATCAATAAATTGAAACAAGTAGGCATTCTAGTAGAGTGCCAGTCGGCTTGGAATATGCCAATCCTGCCAGTCAAAAGGGAAGGAGGACAGGACTATAGGCCTGTACAAGATCTCAGGCTAGTCAACCAGGCTACTGTGACTTTACACCCCACTGTTCCAAAGCCCTATACCTTACTTAGCCTCCTACCACCGACGACTAAAGTTTACACTTGCCTAGATCTCAAGGATGCCTTCTTCTGCATGCGCCTCGCCCCAGCGTCACAGCCCATCTTTGCCTTTGAATGGGAAGAGCCAGTCAGGAGCACCAAACAACAGGTCATCTGGACTCCCCCACAAGGGTAAGAACTCCCCAGCCATCTTTGGGGAAGCCTTGGCTTCTGATCTGTACTCATTCCATCTGAAAGAGTATGGATGTCAGCTCCTACAATACGGGGATGACCTGCTGCTGACTGCCTGAGACCAAGAAAAAATGCTGGAAAGGGACAAATGCACTGCTCCAGCTGTTGATGGAGGCAGGTTACCAGTTGTCGAAGAAGAAGGCACAGATCTACAAAGAGGAGGTAAGGTATCTGGGGTTTGTTTTGAAGAAGAGCTCAAAGTTCCAGACCCTAATTAGGTCCTATATACGGATGGCACTAGCGTGATAAAGCAGGGACAATAGCTCTTGGGTATTCCAAAGCGGAAGGGGCCATCAAGACTGAAAAGGGATGGTGGGAATTGCCAAGTGGCAAATTATTGGTACAGGAGGAGCGGGCACACACTCTGGTAAGCCAAACACACCAAGCGATCCACCTAGGCCATGCTGCCTGCTCACAGGTGAATGCTGCCTCTTGGGTATTCAGACAAAAACCTGCCCCTTGAACACCTGGGAGTGGACTTCACTGAAATGAAACCACACCGACACTACCGTTACCTGCTGGTCATGGTATGTACGTTCTCAGGATGGGTAAAAGCTTTTCCTACCTGAACTGAAAGAACATCAGAAGTAGCCTGGTGCCTGCTTAGGGAAATAGTTCCCAGATTTGGATTTCCTACCAGCATTGGATCAGGCAATGGCCCGGCTTTTGTAGCTGATTTAGTACAACAAGTAAGCAAAACT